TATATATATAATTATTTCTCTTACAGAACACATGATTTGTACAAATACCCTTATATCATTATTTCTCTTACAGAACACACGATTTGTACAAATATCCTTATATAATTATTTCTCTTACAGAACACACGATTTGTACAAATACCCTTATATAATTATTTCTCTTAAAGAACACACGATTTGTACAAATACCCTTATATAATTATTTCTCTTACAGAACACACGATTTGTACAAATATCCTTATATAATTATTTCTCTTACAGAACACACGATTTGTACAAATACCCTTATATAATTATTTCTCTTACAGAACACACGATTTGTACAAATATCCTTATATAATTATTTCTCTTACAGAACACACGATTTGTACAAATACCCTTATATAATTATTTCTCTTAAAGAACACACGATTTGTACAAATACCCTTATATAATTATTTCTCTTACAGAACACACGATTTGTACAAATATCCTTATATAATTATTTCTCTTACAGAACACACGATTTGTACAAATACCCTTATATAATTATTTCTCTTGAAGAACACACGATTTGTACAAATATCCTTATATAATTATTTCTCTTACAGAACACATGATTTGTACAAATACCCTTTTATAATTATTTCTCTTAAAGAACACACGATTTGTACAAATACCCGATCACATAACTTTCCCCTACATAACACACGATTTGTACAAATACCCTGATTTAATTATTTTCTCTTACAGAACAAATGATGTGTACAAACACCCTGATTTAATTATTATCTCTTACATAACACACGATTTGTACAAATACCCTGATCTAATTATCTCTTACAGAACACATGATTTGTACAAATACCCTGATTTAATTACTAAGTATTTTCTCTTACAGAACACATGATTTGTACAAATACCCGGATTTCATTATTTTCTCTTACAGAACACATGATTTGTACAAATACCCTGATTAACTACTTTCTCTTACAGAACACATGATTTGTAAAAATACCCTGATTTAACTACTTTCTCTTACAGGAACACATGATTTGTACAAATACCCGGATTTCATTATTTTCTCTTACAGAATACATGATTTGTACAAATACCCGATCACATTAGAGAACTCACGATTTGTACGAGTACCCTTGCCACCGAATCTTGCATTTAGTCTCACTTAAATGGGGGACACATTTGCATAATCAATATTAGGGGATGATTTTCACATATTTCCCTCATCTGGAATTGAATCTTCGATGGTGTCAAACCTTCAACCCTAGTCTATACCACGGAATTCCGATCCGTCACAAATTATTCATAAGTCATTGAATTTTTTTTGTGTATTCTAAATCATGGATTATTCCTACCGCCTTCCGGTAAATAGAGGTTATCACGCGAATGTGTTTTGGGATGGTAAATATCCTGTATCAGGAATAAACATTGTATTTAGTGAGCCTTGGCAAAGCTTTGTCAAAGGGAAGCTACTCTAACCCTAGTCTATGAGACGTCATGGCCACGATCAGACGTTGTTGACAGTCGGCCTGTCCTGTCAAAACGTTAGAAGTGCAATCAGGTGTACACACAGCGACAAAACGAAACAAGGTAACAATTCAAATATATTTCGGCCAAATCCAACTATTTTAATTTGTGGAAAAGGTTTCGAAATTTATATCTCCAAAGTTGCAAAAACTTATAAAATGCCTTAGCGACGTCACAGTTAGACATTGCTTTTAAGTATATTATACTGTTATTTTGCTTATGACAGCAATTGTCTCTGTAGTTTATCCAGATTCCCGATGGTTAATATTTGACTCGATTGCCGAATGACAAGGGCGACGACATGTTTGTTTATAAACACCAAAAGTAGTCCCTACTTGACCTTTGATATTTGCATCTCTATCCGCATATAACCCAAACGGATATCGTTTTTATCCGTTGGCTTTATCCTGCCGAGAAACCTACCCATTATATGATAAAACACAATTATTAATCGGCTAGCCTTACATCTCTCATGGAATGGGATTCTTATTGAATGGTCCTTGGTCATCTTTCCATCAAAACCGAAAACGCCTGGCGGAGCTAAATAAATAAATTTAGCACATAGCCGAATGTACCTACAACTATTTTTCTTTATAAAAAGATTACTGCGAATTTATAGTCTAAGTAAATTATAGAAATCAGCTATGTTTTAAACAGCAATAACTTTGACAGATTTTAGCAGAATAGAAACCAGACTGATATTTCTTGAGAGAGAAATCTCTGTGTTCAAATCCCTCGTGAACAAGGTCGACCAATTAAAAAAACGTTCACCTTCATGTCCATTTCGATTTCTGACCATTCTGACTTAAAGCCATGGCCAGTACCTGTCTTAAACATCTCAACATCAACATGTCAACATCAACATCATAATATCAACATCTGAACCCAACGTCATGTTCACACGCAACTTGGATTCTCTTCAAGGTCATGTAAGAGGCTCAATGTCAGTGTGGCTTGACATAAAATGTATCATTAATGATTATATATATTGTCACTGGATAGAAAACGTTATCGATAGCATTTAAGGTTTTCAGTCTCGCAGCGATTAATGTTGCGCGGCATCAGATTTCTTGCGTTATTCATACTGCACAATAACAATCAAAACGACAGTTATTTGAAAAACTAAAGTTTTAGAAATATAATTATAATTTCATTCGTTATTAGTATCCATAACGTTTCTTTCAATGTTTTTGGTCAGAGCAGATGCTTGAACCAGCCAGATTAATTGCAAATATAATATAGCTACGCGAAAAATAGCAAAGGAAAACGAAGAACGAGGCGTGGTTAATTTCACGACAAGACATTGTTCTATTATGACGTCATTTCTGGAGCTTCGAACATACACTCGCAACTTGGTGACGTCATAACTTGCACGACGTTATTTTTGAGAGGGTAGTGAGTACTTCCTCATGTATGTCTCTGGGCTGCGCAGATAAAGGCAATGGCCGAACGATCTCGTCAACAAGTGGGCGAGATGTGGCAATCGGTTTCGGGCGAAAGGTTTCCGACAATCGACGAGAATAGTCAGGAAATATCAAACTTAACCCCTGTTCATAAAATGGACTTCTCCGACATTTCCGAGCTCTGTTTGTTTTCTGGGACTCATCATTATTTAAATAGGGTAAATATGTTTTAAGCCTGCAAATGTGTTTTTGTCATTTTTATATTGTAAATAATGTTGACATCTCATATAAGAAATAAACGGCTCGTGGTCTTTGTTTATCGCCCCTCTGCAGGAATAATAAACCACCCGGGGCTGCGCCCCTTTTCTCCCTGCAGTGTTTTATTGTACGATAAACAACTTCCCCTGGTCGTTTATTTAAGAAATAAACGACGAGTGGGAGTTTTATTGTACGATACACTACGACCACGAGTCGTTTATTTCTTAAATATGTGGTAGTGGCATTATGTACTGTCTCTTTAAGGATGATGATAAAGTGTACAAACTTTAAAAATATTTACACGTATCTAAATAATGACCACTGCCTCTATAGAATCCGACCTCGGCAATGTCGGACAGTCCATTTTATGCACAGGTGGGTATTTCTTGCTTATTCACGTCACAGGTATTATTCACAGGTATTCACGTCGATTACCTGTACCTTTTCTCCCAATACCGATTGTCATATCCCTCCCGCTTTTGGATGCGATCGTTCAGTCATCGCGTTTATCTGCGTAGCCCAGCCCTATACAATGTCCCGTGTAATGTCCTGTGTGATGTCCGGTGCTATGTCTTGTTTAATGTCATGCATAATGTCCCGTTTAAGTCCTGTATAATGTCATGTACATTGTCCTTTATAATATCCCGTGTAATGTCATGTACACTGTCCTGTGTAATGTCATGTACAATGCCCTGTGTAATGTCATGTAAAATGTCCCGTGTAATGTCATGTAAAATGCCCTGTGTAATGTCATGTAAAATTTCCTATGTAATGTCATGTACAATGTCCAGTGTAATGTCATGTACACTGTCCTGTGTAATGTCATGTAAAATGTCCTGTGTAATGTCATGTAAAATGTCCTGTGTAATGTCATGTACACTGTCCTGTGTAATGTCATGTAAAATGTCCTGTGTAATATCATGAACAATGCCCTGTGTAATGTCATGTACAATGTCCCGTGTAATGTCATGTTAAATGTCCCGTGTAATGTCATGTACAATGACCTGTGTAATGTCATGTACACTGTCCTGTGTAATGTCATGTTAAATGTCCTGTGTAATGTCATGTACACTGTCCTGTGTAATGTCATGTTAAATGTCCCGTGTAATGTCATGTACACTGTCCTGTGTAATGTCATGTAAAATGTCCTGTGTAATGTCATGTAAAATATCCCGTGTAATGTCATGTAAAATGCCCTGTGTAATGTCCTGTACAATGCCCTGTGTAATGTCATGTACAATGTCCCGTGTAATGTCCTGTACAATGTCCCGTGTAATGTCATGTAAAATGTCCTGTGTAATGTCATGTACAATGTCCCGTGTAATGGTCTATGTAATGTCCTATGTAGTGTCATGTACAATGTCCTGTGTAATGTCATGTTAAATGTCCTGTGTAATGTCATGTACACTGTCCTGTGTAATGTCATGTTAAATGTCCCGTGTAATGTCATGTACACTGTCCTGTGTAATGTCATGTAAAATGTCCCGTGTAATGTCATGTAAAATGCCCTGTGTAATGTCATGTAAAATTTCCTATGTAATGTCATGTACAATGTCCAGTGTAATGTCATGTACACTGTCCTGTGTAATGTCATGTAAAATGTCCTGTGTAATGTCATGTAAAATGTCCTGTGTAATGTCATGTACACTGTCCTGTGTAATGTCATGTAAAATGTCCTGTGTAATATCATGAACAATGCCCTGTGTAATGTCATGTAAAATGTCCCGTGTAATGTCATGTTAAATGTCCCGTGTAATGTCATGTACAATGACCTGTGTAATGTCATGTACACTGTCCTGTGTAATGTCATGTTAAATGTCCTGTGTAATGTCATGTAAACTGTCCTGTGTAATGTCATGTTAAATGTCCCGTGTAATGTCATGTACACTGTCCTGTGTAATGTCATGTAAAATGTCCTGTGTAATGTCATGTAAAATATCCCGTGTAATGTCATGTAAAATGCCCTGTGTAATGTCCTGTACAATGCCCTGTGTAATGTCATGTACAATGTCCCGCGTAATGTCCTGTACAATGTCCCGTGTAATGTCATGTAAAATGTCCTGTGTAATGTCATGTACAATGTCCCGTGTAATGGTCTGTGTAATGTCCTATGTAGTGTCATGTACAATGTCCTGTGTAATGTCATGTTAAATGTCCTGTGTAATGTCATGTACACTGTCCTGTGTAATGTCATGTTAAATGTCCCGTGTAATGTCATGTACACTGTCCTGTGTAATGTCATGTAAAATGTCCTGTGTAATGTCATGTAAAATATCCCGTGTAATGTCATGTAAAATGCCCTGTGTAATGTCCTGTACAATGCCCTGTGTAATGTCATGTACAATGTCCCGTGTAATGTCCTGTACAATGTCCCGTGTAATGTCATGTAAAATGTCCTGTGTAATGTCATGTACAATGTCCCGTGTAATGGTCTGTGTAATGTCCTATGTAGTGTCATGTACAATGTCCTTTATAATATCCCGTGTAATGTCATGTACACTGGCCTGTGTAATGTCATGTACAATGACCTGTGTAATGCCATGTACAATGTCCTGTGTAATGTCATGTAAAATGTCCTGTGTAATGTCATGTACAATGTCCAATGTAATATTCCGTGTATTGTTTTGTGCACTGCCGCGTGTAATATCCTGTTTAATGTCTTGTGTGTTGTCCTTTGCTATGTGGCCAGAACAGCCACGCGTGGGATCCCAGTACGTTAAAATATTAAATGTTAATGTGTTAAAAGGGAAGGTTTCGACATAAATACAGGGAGATACCTTCTATAGACAGTCACGTATTTAATTACGCTATACCAGAGACTGGTTCAAGTTATGGGGATATGACAGATCAATAACTTAGAATAAGGAGGATTGCCGTTATATTTATGTGTTGTTTAGCGCCGTGGTCGGCAACTTTCTAGCTATATCACAGTGGTTTATGTACAAGCCTCCGCTAAGGACCCGTTCCAACAGAGATGACCAATTATAGATGACCTCCTTTTGGCTCCTACCTGTCTGAGACTCATTAGACAATTACGGATGACCTCCTTTTGGCTTACTTTCTTGGTGAGACTCATTTGACAATACTGGATGACCTCCTTTTGGCTCCTGCCTGGCTCAGACTCATTTGACAATTGTAGATGACCTCTTTTTGGCTACTACATGTACCTGGCTTAGACCCATTTGACAATTGTAGATGACCTTCTTTGGATCCTGCTTGGCTGAGAATCATTTGCTATCATAGATGACCTCCTTTTGGCTTCTACCTGGCTGAGACTGGAATCTGGAAAAGACAGATTCATCAACGACCAGTGAGAGCCGGATCCTGTTTCTTGAAGGCGCAGTAACTGGTTTTACTTGAGGCTTCTTTTCACGCCGCCGCTATATATCTATGGGTGAGTAAGTGTGGCAATATACCTGAAATGAAAACCACACTAGAATCTGCACGTTTTCATATAAATAACACATTATAGTTTACTCGTCTGTAAACTGTAGTAATGGCTTATCGCTTTTCACACTGTAAAAACAACATATATTTTTAAATTCTGCAATAATATAATATCGTTTTTAATACTACAATATGGTATATTATCTTAAATACTGCAATAATACCATATCGCTTTCAATACTGCAATAATATTACATCGTTTTTACCACAATTATAGCATATTGATTTATACACTGAAACAATAGATTGTTTTAACTACTGCAATAACAGCATATCGTTTTTACTGAAAAAATATTTCCTTCTAATAGTGCAATAATAGCATTGCATAACAATAACATTATCGTGTTTTAAACACAACGTGCCAGATACATTTGAAGTGTGTTTAATAAGCTTCAGCTGTCCTACATTTGGCTGTGTTTTAAGGTGAACGTTGCTGATGGTGCACAGCGGTAATATCATGTTACATCTTGTAGCACCGCCGTCATATAGGTCACACACAACCAAATGTTTTCCCATAGACTTCTATACTTACGTTATAATTTTTTTTTAAATAACTAAGCATTCAACAGCTATTACCTGTACCTGTGTGCACAGTTCTGCCCTGAGCAGCAATAAAAAAATAAAAAATGACTAGCTTAGCCAGCTCCTTTTCCGAGTACAGGAAGCTAAACACACCACCCCCAGTTTCGCACCAAATGTCACCTACTTGAAAATAGCTGTGGTCACATTCAGCATAAGTCATCATGTTGAAAAAGACAGTACTAAATATAGAAAAACATGGTCAGTTTTAATAACTGGATGGATGTACATTTGAAAGACATAAAAATCTTACAGAATATCCTCCAATCACAGCCTTCAGATATCTCTCGATCTGCAATGAAGGCTCCTTACGAAAACCGCACTGTCCAAACTGGTTCTGATTTGGTGTAGTAGAACCTGTAGCTGGAATATTGCTGAGTGCGGTGTTAAACAACAAACAAACAAAATTTTGAAGCATGTTTAAAGAGCGAGTGGAAGCTGATTACTTGAGCTGTGTTATTGTATATTGATCGGCTTCTCGCTACTGTCTCAGTATCGTAATTGTAATAAATCTAAGAATATATCACGTGTTGTTCTTTACAGCTTCACGTTAATTTGTTTTTCAGAAACAGTTGTGTATAATACAGATGACTGTTAACACGCTGACGGGAGTCAGATTCAGATACTGAAAAGCGAGATTAAACGATAGGTCAAACTACATATTGTACAGAGATATAAAAGTTTGGTTTAACTAGATACATATTCAACATTGAAGTCACGTTAATCTGATTCATATATAATGAAGGTCCATTTTGTTATTAATACCCGTCCAATTTGTAAAAGACAAAGCGGAACGGACTATTCTGCGTACAACTTAAGATGAAGTAAGGGAAATTGCGAAATAAACATTCCATTTTATTAAGCCTGATGTGGGTTTGAATCCTGGTTCGCCCCGATTATGTTTCTTGGTTTGTCAGCACCATACCCGTGCTCGTGGGTTTCACCGAAGTGGTATACGTCTGAGACCTGCATCACTTCGGGCTTTCCTTCCACATTAAGCTGACACGCCGAGAGAAAACTGTAATACTGTTTAAAGCGGCGTTAAACCCAACTCATTCACTCACTGTGTGAGTTATGGAGGAAGGGAACCATGCAGGCAGACATATACTCTCTCAAAAAAGAAACGCATATAAGAATTTTAACTACAGATTTTTTTTTATTTTGATACACTGTGGACAAGTTAATAGCAAATGGAATTCGAAGAAATGTTACACAGGAAATGTCAAGGTATCACTGTTGAATACGACATCGGAAAAAGTCAGTTTATGAATCACACATCGACGTTTGATGTCGCTGAAGTGAGTACCTCGTATGACCACCATTGGCGTTCAGAACTGCGCGACATCGTCTCGGCATAGAACGAATTAGTCTCTGAATCTGATGTTGCTGCAATGTAGCCCACTCTGCCTGTAGTGCATGTGCTAGTTGCTGGAGTGTCTGGGGCTGTGGGTTACGCTGTCGCACCCGTCTGTCCAGGGCATCCCAAAGATGTTCTATCGGGTTAAAGTCTGGTGATCTGGAGGGCCAGGGCAGCACATTGATGTTCTCATTCTGGAGGGAGGCTCTCGTGACACGTGCCGTATGAGGTCTGGCGTTATCCTGCTGGAATAGCTCTCTCTGGCGGTTGATAATGGGAAGGAGGTGTGGACGAAGGACGTGATCGCAGTAGCGTTGCGCTGTCAGGTTGCCTTGGACCAACACCAACTCACTTCTTCCAGTGTAGGATATGGCTCCCCACATAATCACGCTGCCCCTGCCGAATGTGTCCACCTGGGGGATACAGGCGTCAGCAAAACGTTCATGACGTCGTCTGTACACCCGCATTCTTCCATCGCGTCGTTCCAACAGAAATCTTGATTCATCGCTGAACCAGATTCGACGCCAATTCACCAAATTCCAGGCCTGAACGTTTGTACACCATTGAACGCGATGACGTCGATGCTGCTGACGCATAACGGGGCCAAAGTAGGGTCTTCTTGCTCTTAAACTTGCCTCTCGTAGTCTGTTCCTGACAGTCTGTGCAGATATCCTTCTCAATCCCGATATTTGCCTAGCGGTGGTGGTCGCTGTAGCTGTTCGCTGACGCAGGTGATTTACCCGGATGTACCTATCTTGCGCCGCAGTGGTGACTCGAGGACGTCCACTTCTAGGTCCATCTTCCACCGAGTTCTGCTGCCGATATCTCTCCCAGAGACGAGAAATCGTGCTTTGATGAACATTCATTCGACGGGCAACTGTAAGTCGAGATTGTCCTGCTCCCAGGAGACCTATGGCGATGTGACTATTGGCGCGGCTCCGTCTTGGCATTTAGCAGTCTTCACAAACTTCCAAATAAAGTGAATGAAAAAAGACGGAGACCGATCTTTTATACCCATCCACGACACGATGTGATCCCCGAGTTTCACGCGTATTGCACGTGCAATACGTGTTCTGTGACATTAAATGCGTCTATCGAAAATCATGCTTTAACATACGTGTTTTTCATGCGGGAATCGTTTTGATATGACGTTTTAAGACAAAAACACCAGAGAAATCATAAACAAAAAAAATAATTTTGAAAAATCCACCCTGTACCAATACATTGCTGCATCAAATTACCATTTTCGTTATGCGTTTCTTTTTTGAGAGAGCATATTTGTGTCATGTAACGGTGACATGTAAATCATGGAAGCTGGGGTAGTAGGTCAACATGTGGTTGATAGCATGAGCAACTATTCACGAGGAGACTGTATCCAGGTCATACATTGTGACCACCCAATCTTCAAGTACGACAAGCATGAGGTAGGGATCAACCCTTACCCACCAAACCCCACAGACACACTCTCCATGTGTAACATGGCCTGTATACAGAATGTTTGACTCCTTAATACACGCAAACAACCACTTCATAAATGTCAGCCACATTAAAAAAAAGAGAATTTACATTTCAGAGATAACAGAAAAATCGATATTTCTCCTGTTCATGTTATTTTAGTATTAAATATTTATTCCCAGTGTTTGCTACTGTGCCTTCATTAAACATTCACAATAAATCTTTGTCCTTTTCAGCGTAAAACTGAATTTATTGTTTTGAAAATATGCAACAAAATATTGTTATGTGTCGTTTCCCAAACAGAAACGATATGTTAACCCAGAAATCTGTACGTAAAAGAACTAAGTGTTAAACCAACAAATAACCAGCAAAGGGTGTACAACCGACAATTGCATCATACAATTTACTAGATTTCAAATCAATACAAGTTACTGCTCAGCAATAACAATGGCAGTATGCAATAGAGTGGTAGTATAATATTCCATGGGAGGATCAAATTCGAAATACGTTATCAGTGGTAATATACAAAAGTTCAGTGATAATAATATTCACCTATCCGCAACAGTGGTCAAGCTTTCGCGATTGGAATAGGCTGGGAATCAGGGGTGATAAGTCGTCTTTACACTAAATCTGGTCTTGATGTAATGTCAGATGCAATGTAAGATGAAATGTGTGACAGGCACTTGTATAATCTACTTCGCTTCCAACACTTTCCACACAGTGCCAGACCAGTCCAGCGTCACTAGAACATGACAGAATATTCCACATATTTCTATAACGCCTGACATCATATCCATGCTATTCCGGAGGTTTACAAATAATTCGACCATCTAAATATAATAACTTCCTCAACACTGCTTATATTTGACAGTTCTACAATCCTGACAACTAATCATTGTCCAAATAATGCAAAAAAACATTGAATTTCATCAGAAACACTGTGATACAGTTACAATCCTATTTTAACAATAAGTTACACTGCCATATTACACTATTTCAGTGTAGAAAATGATTGATTACACAGGTTGATCTGTATCCTGAAACTTTAAACCCTATTATTAAAAAAATCTAGATATTTCTGGACACCAGTGCAGCTTTATTTATGATTTCGCTGATATATATTTTCCCGGAAAGATATTATCTCCAGACAAATCGATATTAATCGTGTCGCGATTGGCCTAGATTGTCAAAGAAAATATTAAGGCTCCCACCGGACAATCAGTGTCGATTAATGGGGTAATGCCATCTTTATCACTGCCTCGTAAGGAATATAGAAATAGCCAGACCGAAACTAAAATGGGATGATTTGAAGGGAAGGTAGTTTGTCGCCACTTACGCTAAATATATGACATTTTTGAAGAGTCACAATGAACCGTAAGTATAAGAGGATGGATACTAATTAAATAAAAGTCATAGGACTAATCCACATTCACCAGGGCATGGAAAATAGTCGATAATTTCAGATGATGGTATTGCAAGTATCAACCCAGCTTGGCTGTCTGCTTGCAAATTCTTCTTGGTTGTCATTAACTTGTACAGAAGCTGATGACTGAAAAAACAAGGAAATAAATTATTTTATCAACGTTTTAATATTAACTATAGGAGTTCATGATCACTGTCATCTACTTTCATATGTGCATACTGCTGTATCTGGGCTAACGAGTGATCTTGTCGCCAAGGCGCCTTACCTCACGTTCCTAACTCTTACCCAAGGGTATCAGAAACCTATATCGTGGGTTCGAATCCAACATTCGCTCTCATTGATTATTGGTTTGTCAGCATCATGGATTTCATCAAAATGGTCAGGTATAACACATTCGTCGACGTGATATATTTGAAATATTGTAAAAAACGGCATCAAACCAAACTCACTCACTCACTGATTTGCCGTGTCTGAAATGCGATTTTGGTTGTGATGTCTGGTGACATGGGTGCCCTAAGGCTCTGCAAGTCTGTGTCCCTTAGCCGTGTCAGGATCCGCTTTAGCCGTGTCAGGATCCGCTGGTCGTAAGTTCGAATGTCAATTTCGACACTATTTAATTTATTATCCTTGGTTTCTCAGCACCATTCAAACCCTCATGGAAACGAAACACCTATGTCACTTTGGACTTTCCACCCACAGTAAGCAGACAGGCCCTGACATAACTGAAATACTCTTCAGAGCGGCGTTAAACACGACTCATTCAAAGGCCATCTATATCTCGCTAACGTCAT